AATGTTATGGTCCTTGAAGGTGAGATCCTCCGACATAATCACTCCCAGGTCTTTGACGTTGGTGTTTCGCTCTATTTTGTGGCCAGAATTTGTTTTGTACTCTGATGAAGATTTAATTTCCTCATGTTTACCATATCTGAGTAATTGAAATTTCTCATCGTTGAACTTCATATTGTTTTCTGCAGCCCACTGAAAGATTTGGTTGATGTCCGCCTGGAGCCTTGCAGTGTCTGCAATGGAAGACACTGTCATGCAGATTCGGGTGTCATCTGCAAAGGAAGACACGGTGCTGTGGCTGACATCCTTGTCTATGTCGGATATGAGGATGAGGAACAAGATGGGAGCTAGTACTGTGCCTTGTGGAACAGAGCTTTTCACCGTAGCTGCCTCGGACTTTACTCTGTTGACGACTACTCTCTGTGTTCTGTTAGTGAGGAAATTATAGATCCATCGACCGACTTTTCCTGTTATTCCTTTAGCGCGCATTTTGTGCGCTATTACGCCATGGTCACACTTGTCGAAGGCTTTTGCAAAGTCTGTATATATTACATCTGCATTCTTTTTGTCTTCTAGTGCATTTAGGACCTTGTCGTAGTGATCCAGTAGTTGAGACAGACAGGAGCGACCTGTTCTAAACCCATGTTGCCCTGGGTTGTGTAACTGATGGGTTTCTAGATGGGTGGTGATCTTGCTTCTTAGGACCCTTTCAAAGATTTTTATGATATGGGATGTTAGTGTAAGGAAACGTGTCGAATGTTTCCACCCGCCGGGAATCGAACCCGGGCCCTCCGTGTGTGAAGCGGGGGCTTTAGCCACCAGGCCACCGGGCCACCGTGGTTAAAGTTAAAGTTACACACATCTCAAGTAAATCTAGGCCACCCAGGACTATCCCAGTCAAAACAGAAAGCGCTAAACCAGCATTTATTATTTCAAAGGGTTGGTTATCAGAGGGCTAGGCGAAATTCCTGGTTAGGAAAATATGCATTTATTATTAGTAACACTATATACACACAGTAGAAAAACACCTTCATATATCTCTTAGCCTAAACCCCCAAATAATGGTACATAAAGACCCGGCGGGTGCCAGGCTTTCCCTTACTCTTCTACCGACCCCATTTCATCCTATGTCCTCACTCATCCCACAGAGCCCTGACCATATCAGAGCCCAGATGAGCATACTGGTAAACAATAAAAGCACCTCCGGCTTGAGATGGATAAACAAACGAGTACCAAATTTAGCTCAGATATAAAGCACCTCACCAGCGTCTTCACTCCATACTGCCTTCACATGACTCCCCTAAGCCAAGCCCTCTCTCACCCACGCTTCCCGACGCTATCCCCACACATATGTGGAAAATAAATCCCGGCAGGATTTCATAACATTTCCCAGTTTAAACAATTACGATTATCAAATAATGGCACACTTCTCCACTGTATATACATTACAATGCAATGCAGAACACTGCATAACAAAGGGTCACAAGTTCAAAACTCACGTAAGTCACAGGGACGTTAGAAAGCACTTCTTCAGTCATAAATTTGTCAGGAAATGGTACTGTGGAGAAATTTTCTCCAGGAGGTGGGTATCAGCCCCTTTCAGCCCTGAAGGGCCCAGCCCTCTCAGAAGGGGCAAACATCTTGTTTACTGCTACAGCAAGTAATTGATCCCAGATGCAGAACAAGTATGTGACGTGGTCAAGCGACCGCTGCTCCTTGCAAGAGTCCAGTGTTGCAAAGTGTAGTTAATAAGAGACAGTCCATCTCTTACCATAGCAGGACAATTAAGGAAAATCCTGCTCCCACTTTATTACCATGGTAAAGATAGTGTATATTGTTGTCTATGCTTAAGACAGCAAGAATCAAGCATTCTGCTTTGCTTCATGGAGGAATTTTGGCAAGGAAGCAAAAAGTACTAGGTCAGCTTTTCCTTTATGTTCTAGGGGCATTGCAGCAGCGTAAGACACTGTGAGGTCAGATTACTTTTCACCCTACTGGGAGTCACACTGACGCCAGGATAACCAACAAAGAACACTGATCCATGCGCTAGTGTGAACAAAGTGTCTCACAAAACACAATAAACACTTACAAAGAAGTGTGATCAGCTTCTTTAGTGATAAGATTGTGAACAATAAAGAAAAACCTTGTGGAACATAGTGTACCAGTGTGTGTATTCCTAGAATATGGAAGACATGAACATCCAAGGACACTTCAGCTTCTATCAAGTCACCGATACCTGTTGAGGGAGTAAAAAACACCACAGCTCACGCTACAAGAGCAAGGTGGGTTGCAAATTTCTTGTAGTACGGGGGACTGCACAGTTCTTGTGTCACAAGGAGTTTGTAATCAACCTATAGTCGGCAGTGAGATGCGGACTTTTGAGTCCACACACGTAAGTTCATCAGCAATTAGTGAATGAAATATGCTGACATAACACTCCTTAGGGGTAAATTATTATTATCATAATATACTCTATTACAGCCCATTGTGAAGTGGATAAGATAGCTTCTCAAGACCTCACCTGCAGGGGTGGCTGTGTGGGCAATAGCTGTCTTATCAGCTAAGTACCCCCATTTCTCAACAGGTACAATTTTGAGAGAATTGTAGTGAAGGCATGATCTATACATAGCTTTAAGAAGAGGTACTATACAGCCGTTGGAACAGAGAGAGAGTGGGCCTAGTAACGACCAGCGAAGAGGTGGGGCCAGGAGCTACAACTCAATCCTTGCAACAAATAGATGAGAATACATACACACAACACCACACACACACACACATTTGTGAATGACATGATGGAAGGAATAAACTCTGAAGTGTCCCTGTTTGCAGATGATGCGAAGTTGATGAGATGAATTCAATCGGACGAGGACCAGGAAGAACTACAAAGGAATCCAGACAGGCTGCAGGCCTGGTCCAGCAACTGGCTCCTGGAGTTCAACCCGACCAAGTGCAGAGTCATGAAGATTGGGAAAGGGCAAAGAAGACCGCAGACAGAGTACAATCTAGGGGGGACAGACTACAAACCTCACTCAAGGAAAAAAGATCCTGGGGTGAGTATAACACCAGGCACATCTCTTGAGGCACACATCAACCAAATGACTGCTGCAGCATATGGGCGCCTAGCAAACCTAAGAACAGCATTCTGACATTGCAATAAGAAATCGTTCAGGACCCTGTACACTGTGTACGTTAGGCCCATATTGGAGTATGCGGCACAAGTTTGGAACCCACATCTTGCCAAGGACATAAAGAAATTAGAGAAAGTGCAAAGGTTTGCAACAAGACTAGTCCCAAAGCTAAGGGGTTTGTCCTACGAGGAGAGGTTATGGGAAATCGACCTGATGACACTGGAGGACAGGAGAGAGAGGGGGGACATGACGACATATAGAATATTGAGAGGAATTTATAAGGTGGACAGAGACAGAATGTTCCAGAGAAGAGACACAGCAACAAGGGGACACAGTTGGAAGTTGAAGACACAGATGAATCACAGGGATGTTAGGAAGTATTTCTTCAGTCACAGTAGTCAGGAAGTGGAATAGTCTGGGAAGCAATGTAGTGGAGGCAGGAAGGATCCATACATTGCTTTAAGCAGAGGTATAATAAAGCTCATGGTTCAGGGAGAGTGACCCAGTAGAGGCCTGTGAAGAGGCAGGGCCAGGAGCTATGAATCGACCCCTACAACCAAAATTAGGTGAGTACACAGGAGGAGGAGGAGAAATATCAGGAAGAGGAGTAGGAGAAGAGGGAGAGGGAGGGAGGGTTTTGTCTGACAGCCTACCCACTAGTGCGGCTTATACAAATGAACATAAAACCCTCCCTCCCCCTTTCCTCTTCCCATTCCTCTTCCTCCTCCTCCTCCTCATCCTCATCCTCTTTCTCCTTCCTCCTCTCCCCCTTCCTCACTTCCTTTCCCTTTCTCTCCTTGTACCTCCTAATCTTTCCCCCATCTCTCTCCCCCTCTGCCACTGTCCCCCCAATGGAAATAAGTCACTGACTTTTTTGGGTTATCCTAGATACTTTACACACATGCTACTATATATGATAATCTATGTAACTGTATTTGTGTATACCTGAATAAATTTACTTAGTCCCCCCTCCCACTCTCTATCCCTCTCCCCCTCCCTACCTCCCTCTCCCTCCCTACAACGAACACCTCCTCTATACACACACATGAACTCACTCCTGAAAATATGTAAGCTCCTCTTTCTGTGGTAAAAAAAAATGGGTTACCAAAGAGCTGGATGGAGAACCAGGGGACTGGCAGATGAACCTGGGAGTGAAGACTGGGAGACAGAGCTCACAAAAAGGGAGGAAGAGTGGGGAAGGAAGCTAGAAGAGCTCAGTAAGGAAATGGAGGAAAGGATAGCTGCAGAGAGCAGGAAATAGGAGCTACAAGCCATAGCAGCAGTAGCTAAGATGCAGAGCTTAGAAGTGGAACTAATAAAACTGAAACAGCCTAAAGAACCAAATGGCAGTACAGCCATGACATCAGGAACTGCTACATCAGTCACAGATGAGAGGTTCGTAGTGAGCAAAGGAGCTATACTGTATGCAATGGCCCTATCAGACCCATTTGGGGCCTGGAAAAAGATGAAGTGCACATCAAGAACAAATGAGGGGACTTAAGACAATGAAGAAACTAAGCTATATGCAGAGAGACTAGCAGATAACTGCAGTGCCCAGGAACAGCTGAGCAGGAAAAAAGACAGACCACTGAGCACAGGGACATCAGCTAGGGAAGAGATTGATGGAAGGACTGCTTCAATGGCAGGAACTAAATTGTCTCAGGAGATGCAAAGGGAAATACAGTGGGAGGATAAGAGGGAGTGGTCAGTTTTTGTCTACTGGCTCCAGGAAGTTGAAGGGGAAACTTATGATGCAAGAAGACAGGAGGAGAAAAAAGCGAATGAAAATATCATGAAAGCGATAGAAGAGGACGACATGACCCCCAGAGAATTGGGTGGTTTGCCAGAGAAAAAAAAGGCCAGCCAAAGTGATTTTCAAGGCACAATCAGGTCATAACAGGATCCTGCAGGAGAAAGCACAACTAAGGGACACATCAGATTACCAGAGAGAGTACCTCGAATGAGACAGAACACAAGAAGAAAGAAAGCTCCTGAAAGAGAGGGTACAAAGATGCAAAGAGGAATGAGAGGTTATGATGGAGATGACAGGAGAACCCAGACCCGGATGAAAGAGCAAACACAACTTCCTCCAGAACCACCCACAGAAGGAATCCAACCATGGCAACCCCAATGCAACTGAACAATCTAGACCAGAACCCACACACTGTACCCTCCACCCCAACCCCCTCATCATAAACCACACCCCTACAGCAAACCCTCATAGGCCCTCTGCCCCTACCCCATTCATCACAAACCCCACCCCCAAAGCAACCCCCCATAGGCCTTCAAAAGGGCTCTCACTCCCCCAACCCCAACATTCTCCCCAGACCACAGTTTTAGAAAAGAAGGTTTGGTATACGAACATGGATGGAATAATGAATAAATGTGAAGAGTAGCATGAAATAATCAGGGAGATGTCCCCAGACCTCATAACAGTCACAGAAACAAAACTCACTGGGATGATAACAGATGCAATCTTCCCACCAGGATATCAGTTCCTGAGAAAAGATAGAAGGAGCAAAGGGGCAGGAAGGGTTGTACTGCTCATTAAAAACTGATGGGGATTTGAGGAAATGGAATGAATGGACAATATTAGAGATAGGGATTACATAGGTAACATTCAGTCTGGGGGGACATAAAGCAGTCATTGTAGTGATGTATAACCCGGCGCAAAACTGCAGGAGATCAAGAAAGGAATATTAAGAGAGCAACAGAACAATGGTGGACACACTAGCTGATGTGGCCAGAAGAGCTCACTAGAGTATAGCAAAGTTATGGGTGATTTCAACCACAGGGAGACTGGGAAAGCCTGGAGCCACATGGGGGCCGCAAAACATGGAGAGCCAAAATGATGGACGTGGTACTGGAAAATCTCATGCATCAACATGTTATGGACACTAGCAGAGAGAGAGGGGAGGATGAACCAGCAAGACTGGACCTCGTGTTCATCCTGAGTTGCTCGGACATTGAGGCCATCACATATGAAAGGTCCCTTGGAGCTAGTGATCACGTGGTTCTGAGCTTTGAGTACACAGTTGAGTTAGAAGAGGAGAGGGCAACAGGAGTAGAATGGAAAAAGCCAAACTATAAAGGGGGAAATACACAGGTATGAGAAACATCCTGCAGGAGGTTCAGTGGGAAAGAGAATTGGTAGGAAAGTCAGAAAACGAAATGATAGAAGACATAACAAAATGCAAGGAGGAAGAAGAAAGGTTTGTTCCCAAGGGCAACAGAAAAAATGGGAAGACCAGAATGAGCCCTTGGTTTACCCGAAGGCGTCGTCCAGCAACTGGCTCCTCGAATATAACCCTGCCAAATGCAAAGTCATGAAGATTGGAGAAAGGCCAAGAAGACCGCAGAGAGAATATAGGCTAGGTGGCCAAAGACTGCAAACCTTACTCAAGGAGAAAGATCTTGGGGAGAGTATAATTCCGCGCACCTCTCCGGAAGCACACATTAACCAGATAACTGCTGCAGCATATGGGCGCCAGGCAAACCTGAGAATAGCATTCTGATACCTCATTAAGACACTGTACACTGTGTACGTCAGGCCCATACTGGAATATGCAGCACCAGTTTGGAACCCATACCTGGTCAAGCACGTCAAGAAATTAGAAAAAGTGCAAAGATTTGCAACAAGGCTAGTTTCAGAGCTAAGGGGAATGTCCTACGAGGAAATGTCAAGGGAAATCAGCCTGACAACACTGGAGGAGGGTGGGTTAGAGGTGACATGATAACGACATACAAAATACTGCGAGGCATAGATAATGTGGAAATTATTTAATTTTCGAAGCTATAGTGCCTAATAAGTGTTTAATGTGTTGATTTGGGTCAAAATGTATTTGTATTTTGAATGGAACCAACTGGGTTCCCGCTGCGCCTGCACAGATGTGCGGGGGTATAGGTTGAACTGGGGCACGAGGAGGCGGCAGTGTTTTGAATGTAGTGAGGAGGCTGGGAAAGCATGGAACCAGGAAATTGGCGTTCACGGCGGCCTAAGGATTAATATAGGTCTCATTTCATAATAGGAAGCGTGGTAACTGTTCCTGGTGGAGAGTGAGGGAACATGATTTACGGGACCACCGTAATAGAGTGGTAAAATGAGTGAATAAGGGTAGGATCGGGTGACTGGCACGTCGCCATGGACTGTGTCCCGGGGAAAATTACCCTTGGTTTAATCATCACTCATCGGTCTCAGATCTTAATGGAGTGATCTCTAATGGGTATAATAATTATGAGACATTAAATCGTCTTGTGAACTGTAATGTAATTAATGATAATAACGCTAAGTTAAGAGAATGCGTGAAGTGAAATAAGTCACCTTGCTCCGAGTGAACACGCTAGACCACGTTGTTCCCGTCACGAGGAAAGTGAAGGTTATTGAGTCACGACTTCTAAACCGGGACAAACCAACGGATACCTCGTCCTGCTGGAATAAGAACCGTGTCGGTGTAGCAGGACATCGAAATGAGATGGTGAATGGAGGAAATAAGGAGTATCAATCACCCACAGTTAAGTAACCCTTCTAGTTATAGCAGACTGATACTGGCCAGTTAGGTATGTTGTAATTGGATAGGTTATGGGTGATCCAGCTACATCAAGTGACCCCCAGAGAATATCTGGTAAGTGGTGGGATTATATACGAATGTTTTTCTTTGATGGATATATCCAGGTGTAACCTACCCCCCCCCCCTTCATTCAGTTACACTAATATTATCTATACAGTCCACAATTAATTAGTAGCGCCGTACTTGTGGGTGCTATCCAATCTATACTGGTCTCGGATAGATATGGATAAGATTGTGAGGTCGAAGGCCCACCTCCAGTGACCAGGGGTGGTGAAGTTTTCTCACATATCTACACGGGGTGACTACGGTAAACAATATAGGGTTGTCTCCCAATGAGATTACTTGTATGTATATAATGTTGAGGTACATAAAGGTAATCACCCCTATAAAATTTTCCACAGATAAGGTGGACAGTGACAGGATGTTCCAGAGATGGGACACAGAAACAAGGGGTCACAATTGGAAGTTGAAGACTCAAATGAGTCAAAGATATGTTAAGAATTATTTCCTCGGTCATAGAGTTGTCAGGCAGTGGAATAGTCTGGCAAGTGATGTAGTGGAGGCAGGAACCATACATTTTTTTTTAAGATGAGGTATTATAAAGCTCATGGAGCAGGATGAGAGAGGACCTCATAGTTATCAGTGAAGAGGCAGGGCCAGCAGCTGAGTCTCGACATCTGCAACCACAAATAGGCGAGTACAAATAGGTGAGTTTGCGCACACACACACACACACACACACACTTCGCAATCAGCGAAGAGGCGGGGCCAGGAGCTGTGAATCGACCCCTGCAACCACAAATAGGTGAGTACAAATAGGTGAGTACACACACACACACACACAGGCAGGACTACAAAGAGACCTGGACAGATTGGACACGTGGTCCAAAAACTGGCTTCTCGAATTCAAACCTGCCAAATGCAAAGTCATGAAGATTGGGGAAGGGCAAAGAAGACCCCAGACAGAGTATAGGCTAGGTGGACAAAGACTGTAAGCCTCATTCAAGAAGAAAGATCTTGGGGTGACCATAACACCGAGCACTTCTCCGGAGGCACACATCAACCAGATAACTGCTGCAGAATTTGGGCACCTAACAAACCTGAGAATAGCGTTCCGATACCTTAATAAGGAATCGTTGAAGACACTGTACACTGTGTATGTCAGGCCCATACTGGAGTATGCAGCACCAGTTTGGAACCCACACCTGGCCAAGCAATGTCAAGAAGTTAGAGAAAGTACAAAGGTTTGCAACAAGGCTAATTCTAGAGCTCAGGGGAATGCCCTACGATGAAAGGTTGAGGGAAATCGGATTGACGACACTGGAGGACAGGAGGGTCAGGGGAGACATGATAACGACATACAAGATACTGCATGGAATAGATAAGGTGGACAGAGACAGGATGTTCCAGAGAAGGGACACAGAAGCAAGGGGTCACAATTGGAAGCTGAAGACTCAGACGAGTCACATGGATGTTAGGAAGTATTTCTTCATTCATAGAGTCGTCAGGAAGTGGAATAGCCTAGCAAATGGCGCAGTGGAGGCAGGAACCATACATAACTTTAAGACGAGGGATGACAAAGCTCAGGAAGCAGAGAGAGAGAGGACCTAGTAGCGATCAGTGAAGAGGCGGGGCCAGGAGCTGAGTCTCGTCCCCTGCAACCACAATTAAGTGAATACACACACACACACACACACACACACACACACACACACAAGATGCAGAACAGGATCCTGGAAGAAAAACCTCCGTTGAAGGAATCATCAACATACAACAGGGTGTTCCTAGACCACAACAGAACAAGAACAGAATGACAGCAGCTGAGCGAGAGGACAGGAGAGAGGCAAGAGCAGAGTCTGCAAATGAAAACAGAGCCATACAGAGGAACAAGCGCAAGTACACACAGAACCACCCTCAGAACCTGGACAGCCAAACACTATCACAATACAAACCACAATCCACACTCACAGCTCCCATTCCACACTTTGCAGTAGAATCCCACAGCACAATGCCAGGTCCCTCATTCCTCCAACCCTCACAAAACCCCCAGCACTGATGGAATAACGAATAAATGGGAGGAGTAGCATGAAAGAATTAAAGAAGCATCATCAGACATCATAGCTCTCACATAAACCAAGTTCACAGGAATAATTGCAGATGCCATCTTTCCAACGGATTTCAGATCCTGAGAAAAGAGAGGGGGTGGAGGAGTGGCACTGCTCATCAAAAACCAATGGGATTATGAGGAACTGGAGAGAGGAGACAGAGAAGAAACAAGCGGAGCATTTCAGTCTGGAGGTCCCAAGGTGGTAATTGCAGTGATGTATAACCCACAAC